GCAGATTCGAGACCGGTACATGAGTCTCCTCTCGTTGATAGACCGGGTGCACGTAGTCGTATATTCCCAAAAGGCTGTCACTTTGAATAACTGGCACTGCACTGTATACGCGAGCCAGTCGTCGTAATTGATTCTTTCTACCCGCGCGACGCGCTTTCGGCATCAGCATATCTCGTTAATAATTATGACGGTTGAATTAACCTTTCGTTCGCCTGGCGACCCTGATTCCTAAGCGGCTATCCTCTCTAGGATACAGTGGTCGTATTGAACCATAAGCGGCTTTCCTTTCTATAGTTCGGAGACGAACGAACGGTAATGATCAGAGAAAGTTGCAAGTACTTGAGCGAAAATGACATTTATTAGCACGATGCCGAAAGTTGGTACACGTAAGGACTAGTAATCAAATATTCACACCGCAATTATATAACTATAACAAAATATATATTCTTAAAAGCAAGTTACATTGTAACACGTACAATATGAGAATAAGAACTAGAACTAAGATTTAGAATTAACGGGAAGTTACGATACAGTGGATTGAGTCGAGTGAGTCTGAACTAGTAGGAAATCGGCGGTGAACTGCAGTAGAATGCCGCTGCGCTGAGTCTGACATGCGCCGGTTGGTGGGGGTACGTTGGTCGGTGGGGGTAACGCTCGGGGCTCGCCTACCGTTTGGGTGGTGAGAGCGCCATCTTTAGGCAGATCGCAGCGTCCTGCTTTACCCTGTACTATTGTGCGGTCGGTAATTTATCATGTGAGTTGTTCTTACATCTACGGTGCATTATCATGTGAGTTGTTCTTATATCTATGGTACATTACTCTTATATATTCTATTGGCGATCTGCAGGGCGGAGAGTGTAGGGGGGTGAAGAGGGTGGTATCGTGGGATGTCACAGTGGTAATATGAAATGTTTGCGAAAAATCCGGATATTATAAAACTGGTTCGGTTAGCAGCGCTTCGCGGAGCGTGCAGAAAACGCGTTCTTGGTCCTGTCCCCACGAGAATTTAGTGTTCTTCCGCAGGAGCGAGGTTAGAGGTTTTGAAATTTTTGAGAATTTTTCGATAAAGCGCCGATAGTATCCCGCCAGGCCAGGAAATTCCCTTACATTTTTCGTCGTTTTCGGCGTTGGAAAATCCCTGACGGCGGAGACATTATCTGGGCGTGGCTTCACACCATCCTCCGAGATGACACGACCTAGGTATGCCACCTCCCTATGGACGACCCCCACATAGATGGTTGCAACTTCAGGTTGGCACGGCGCAACCTTGCGGCGAGCTTATCGAATTTAATTTGGTGTTCCTGAAGTGAACTTGCGTATATCACAATATCATCCGGGTACACCAAAAGTTCCGTGCCTTGGAGACCCATTAAGATAGCGTCCATCAGACGCTGGAAGGTTGCAGGTGCGTTTTCAGGCCCGAACGGCATTCGGGTAAACTCATAGTGCCCATAGGGGATGGAAAAGACCGTTTTTTCGGCGTCGACGTTGTTACGTCCCGGAATGTGGTCAACGAGATTTAATAGCACTTAAGCTGTAATCTCGGCTCAGAACTTCACAATGAGCAACCTTTTGCCCTCGCGTTACGTACGTCCGCATCTGACTGGGCCCTGCGATGTGTTGCCTTTGACATTCGCACGATGACGCCATCGATGAGCGCGCACTGAGTTTAGATCGACATTGTATATGAGGAGGCGCGTCCGCGACATGAAATATTAAAATATAATATATTCTTCTTATAGGTATACGTTACAATAATATGATTACTTACTAAGGATTATGAATATTAGAGTGTATTATAATTATGGACGGCGTCAGACGTATGTCGGATACGACTGATGGTTGAGACGACGGAGCGCGCAGGCTGGCCGCCTGGCTGACCGCAACTACTGCATGTAGCTACTGACACTGGTACTGTTACGTCCCGGGACGGGTGTTTAGAATATTTGGGATTCTTTCCCGGTACGTAGAGCTTCCAATCTTTCTGCCCAAGTGGCACGTACGTCCAGATATGGCAGGGGACTGCGATCTGCTGCTACCGCTGTGTCATCGATGGTGATGGGTATCAGCTTCCACGGTAATTCGTCGTTATGTTGTGGCGTTTCAATGCCCAGTGGCCAGCGCTTGGAGAGGGCTGGCTGATGATGTTCGCGTATAAGTTTATGTAGCTGGTATCTACGTCCGACGCGACGCGATCGGAAGGATAAATAATCATATTGGCAATATGTTAAGAATACAAGAATATTATATATATATATATATATATATATATACAAGAATATTATATATATATTTTATAATGAATGGTATACAACACTTAAACGTACTTAGCAAATAGTAAGATATAGAAATAATAACGTATGGAAATAGTAACGTGTGGAAATAGTAACTTGTGGAAATAGTAACGCGATGTCGGGAGGATGGACGGCGGGTTCCAGAGCCTCTAGAAGTACGACTCGTCTAAAGTCCGTACTTGAACTGAACTGTCTTTTTGGTGGCTTGTGGCTTAATTTATATGAGTCGCTTGGTGGTTCGGGCATCGCGGGGATGCTTACAATTATCTGTGTTTTGTCTGGGTTTGTTATGGGAAAGGATTGGATTGCTCGGTTCAATCGGAGGATGTTTATGCGAGATTAGATAGCGTGGAGTCAGAGGATGTTTACGTGAGCTAAGAGTGGAATGTTTGGTGTGGGGATTGGAGTGTAACGCTTAATCTATTGAGTATGTATGTGTTCTTAATCTTAACTTAATACTAACTCCAACGTCGTCGCTCGACGTCACACCTCCCTTCCCGGATAACAATTTTTACCGGGTGAAAATTGTGTCTGTGTGATCTTGCAGGGACGTCGCTGGTGTGTATATATCTAAGTCTATATTAGTCCTATTGGCACTAGTTGTGTCTCTAACGGGAGCGTGATCGTTTGTGTCGATGTGAGGGGGGGGTTTGCACGCATTCTATTGCGTCGTCACCTTTATTCACTGTGTCTTCCCTTTTCTGTTGTAGGAAGATGCAGAAATGTGCCAGGGTACTCCAAACTGCTGCTAGCAGGTGTAGACTCCAACCGTATGCTGCGTGGAGGGCTATTCCGTTGAGGACAGCATTGATGATGAGCTTGATGAGCCGGAGTGTGATGTAGATGCCCAATATGCCTGCGGTAAATGATCCAAACGTCATAAATTTGGACCATATTTGCTTGCTTGCCGATTCTGCAATTTTTCCCAGGGATGTTTCGTCCAGTAGGTTGGAAATTTGGATTGAGTCTGTTGAGTATTGCCTCCCAGTAGCTCCTTGTGCTATAGAGTTTATGATTGAGGGTTTCTCGAATGGGAACATGATGTGGTTCCTTAGGTTGGCGAGGTCTTCGGAGGAATAGATTCCGCCGTTTGCCAGATTTTCAGGGTTGATATATCTCCAGTGAGGTGTGGTTAGTGGTTTCAGAGCTTGTGGTGTTACTGTCTCCACCGGATGTGTTGTCATCCTGTACCAGATGCCTTGTAATTTATACAGTGTGGGGAGTATGGTGCTACACTCCCGGATTGTGCCGACAGTTTCCAAGATTCTTGATTTGGGTGTGAGGAAGTACGAGGTGTTTTGGTAGGTGACTGGAAGTTCGTCGTAGCAATGCGTTGTTTTCCGTAGTTGGCTGATCACCGGGATGCATTGTATGACGTGTATGGCCTCGCCGGCTGAAGTTGCCGTGTGTCCAGGTTGCTTTGTGATCGTGAAGGCGACCTCTTCAGGCACTGTGTGTATTAGTGTTAAAGCGTTGTTTAATATTTGTTTCTCCAAGGTGCATTTCTGAGTTATAATGTCCTTATATAACTGCGTTATTTGCGTGCGGAGATGCATTTCCACATATATAAATTTTGAATTAACATAGGTAAATATGTCCAGGTTATTTACTGAAATTGCCGACGCCGGCTTGAATCTTCCGTTTTTGTTCACGTCAATGATGAAGAGACTGGCATGCTCTGTTTTTATTAGGGTAAATCCGCATAGAGTGGTAGAGGTGGTTTGTGTCAGTGCAAATACGGTTTCTCCTGATGTTACCGTATATATTGTTAGTCCCTGGCGTTTGTTGGGGCTCAATCTTTCTGCTTTTCCGTCGTACAAGACGTCGTACTTGCGGAAGATACAATAGTCCGTGGGGAGTGTGTTCCAGTAGGTATATCCATTTTCAGAGTCAAGGCAGGTACCTGTCTGGAGTTCGCAGTGTTGTCCTGATTGGAGAATTATTTGATTCGATGATAATGTAACTGTTGCTTCGTAATTCCTTATTGAGATTTTTACAACGGCTTGTACGATGACGTTGTTCCAGGTGCCGTGCGAATCTGAGTAGGAGGTACCGAAGCCAAGCACCGTCCGGTCCAATGGTTCCAGCAAGCGTTAAGCTGTAGTGCGTCGTGGAGTTGGCTCATACACCCGTTATTTGCGTGGCTGGGTTTATAAATATGGTACCCGTGGTGTGGAGGTTGGTGCACGTTTCTTTGGTGGCTGAGAACAGGTACTGGCGTCGTCCATTAGCGACGATGGATGTATGTGAATGCATCCCACAGTAATAGATGGTACGGTCGATTTCCAGTTTGCATTGTGTGACTTGTGCACTGTTGAAGTCGCCCAGCTGCAGCAGCTGGATATTCCTGGCTTCCGCTGTGGGTTGTATGTCCTCTGTGTTACAGTCTAAGGAGTCGACGGTGGAAAAGGTGGACACGTTGAGGGTACGGCTCCCGCAGTCGTATCCTCCCACTAGGGCGGATGCTTGGGCGATGAGGATGCAGAGTACAATGAGGGAGAGCATGTTGGTGCTTCTGGTATTCTTGGGGAAATGTCCCTTGCGGGCTTCGCTGGCGGCTATATATCGTCGTTCCCCGCAGGGAGGAGGAATCTTGTGCGCAATTATTCGGCGCACGTTGGTGGAGCGCGTTTTGCGGAGTTTGTTTGCGTGTACTACGCGTGACCTACTGTTTACAAGAATTCGTATGTTGTTTTGCAGGAGTATTTATAACACCATGTGGGGGCCCGTGTACTCGTCGTCGAACTTCCCCTTGCGTGGCTCTTTCAGGAGGAAAACCCTATCGCCCACGCAGAATGTCTCCGTGTGAACCTTACTATCGTAGTAGCCATTCAATCGTTCCTTGGCGGACCCTAAATTCTCCCGAGCTCTGAAGGCGGTGTTAGTGATTTTGACTTGGAGATCGGAAAAATAGGAATTGTAGGTTGGATCGGATGTTTCCGTAAAGGAGGAGCTGGATGGGAGGCGGGATAGTCGTCCGAACACCAATTCGTGGGGCGTGAAGCGGGTGCCCTCGTGGACGCTGGTGTTGTAAGAGAACATCGCCAGGTTCAACCACTCATCCCAATTATTACGCGAAACGTAATGCTTTAAATATTCGGTAAGCACCTGGTGCGATCGCTCCACTGAGCCGTTGCTCTGCGGGTGGAATGCGGTGGTGCGGAATTGTGTTATTCTGAATCGTCTCGCGACTATTTTAATCAGTGTGCTCGTGAAGTTAGTCCCCTGGTCGGTCAGTACGGCCTTGTGGGCCCCGAAGCGGCAGACAAGGTTGTTTATAAATGCGTCAGCGATATCTATGGAGGTGGAGGTTTTTAAAGGAACCGTCAGGGAATATTTAGATAGGAGGTCCTGCATGGTGAGGATATAGGTGTTTCCGGATGGTGTGGTGGGAAGGGGCCCGACAAGATCCAACGCTACTTTATCGAATGTGTGAGTCGGTGTATCGGTGATAGTCATTGGTTGCCGAGTCTTGACGCGTGTCAAATTGCGCAGCTGGCACCTTTCGCATGCGTTTACAAAATTTTGAACATCTGTTTTGAGCGTTGGCCAGTAGTATCTTTCCCTGATCCTGTGATAGGTTTCAGATATGCCTTTATGTCCTCCAAATGCAGATACGTGATTTTCCGTTAGGATATCGTAGCGTATGGATTCGGTGGGTATTCTGACTTCGTGGGAGCATGCAAAGATTTGTGTGTTAGTAGACATGAAGAGGTCGAATAGCACTCCTTGGATCGTGGACCAAGGAATGTCGTCGATGGAGGTACGGGATATACTGAAGGAGGAGAGATTAAGTTCTGTTATTACGTTATATAGAGATCTGAGGGATTCGACTAGGTCGTCGGGAGAAGTCGTGTGGTCGTGTGTTGGCTTGATGGGTAAGATTATCAGGTGGTGTGCTCCAATATTTGTCAATTTTGCGCGTCCAATAACAGCGTCGCGGGGTACGTGGAATTTATTGTGTGTGACAAGGTCTGTTGCGCCGTTATCAAATGGCTGGCCGTCCAGTGATGCGAAGCTAACTAGATTGTCCTTCCTCATCACAAATCTGTCCCGGGTGTGTATTATAGTCCGTCGGTTCGTAGATGTGTCTCGCGAATGTGTGGGGGTGCTGTCGGTGTTGCGTTCGTTCGTTGTGGTGAGGTTAGAATTTGATTGTTGGGGCGAAGTATGTGTTTGCGGAGGATTACGGGAGGTAGAAGGTGTAGGCGGGGGAGATCGTCCTTCGCGTAGTGGTCTTGGTGAGAATAGAGATGTGTCTGAAGAGTCGGAGTGGACGGGGAATACCGGAGCAGGATTCCTAGATAGCGCGTCGGCGTTTAAGTTGGATTTCCCTGGCTTATAAATGACTTTGTATTCATATTCTGCTACTTTCAGACGCCAACGGAGTAGTCGCGACGTCGGGTCTTTTACCGACGTGACCCATACAAGGGGACGATGGTCCGTGATAAGGTTAAATCGTTTCCCGTAAATGTAGGATCGGAAATGTTGTACGGCGTATACGATTACGAGGCACTCCTTCTTGATAGTTGAATAATTCAATTCCGCACCTTGAAGCAACCTAGAGGCGTAAGCGATGGGCCTGTCTTTCCCGATTTCGCCCTGGCTCAGTATGGCCCCGATCGCATATCCGGATGCATCGGTTGTTATATTAAATGGTAGCGCGAAGTCAGGATATTGCAACACCGGCTCTGTTAAGAGCGCTTCGCGGAGCGAGCAGAAGGCGCGCTCCTGATCTTTGCCCCACGTAAACTTGGTGTCCTTACGTAAGAGGGAGGTTAGTGGTTTCGAGGTTTGGGAGAATTTGTCAATAAACCTGCGATAGTACCCGGCTATACCAAGGAACTCCCTTACATTTTTCACCAATTTCGGTGTCGGGAAGTCCTTAACCGCGGAGACCTTCTGCGGGCAGGGTTTTACGCCATCCTCCGAGATGACGGTATGAGGTATGCCACCTCTCTATGCACAAACCCGCACTTCGAGGGCTGGAGCTTCAGGACCGCGTCGCACAACCTTGTAGCCAGTTTGTTGAATTTTATTCGATGTTCTTGCAATGAGCTTGCGTAAATTACTGTCGTCCAGGTAAACGAAAAGTTCCGTACCCTGGAGACCCATTAGTACGGCGTCCATAAGACGTTGGAAGGTTGCGGGAGCGTTCCTGAGTCCGAACGGCATGCGTGTAAACTCGTAGTGGCCATAGGGGGTGGAAAAAGCTGTTTTTCGGCGTCAGCCTCCTCCATGCCTATTTGGTGGAACCCACTGGCCAGAATAAACACGCTGAAGTATTTGGCGCTACCGAGTTGGTCTAAGATTTCATTAATGCTGGGTAGTTTTTCATTGAGCCCACGGTAGTCTATTACCATGCGCCATCGTTTCTGGCCGTTTTCATCGGCCTTTTTGGGCACAATCCACAAGGGTGAGTTATACGGAGAAGTAGAAGGGCGTACTATGTCATTTTCCAAAAGTTCCTTCATTTGTTTATTGATTTCAGCCTTGTGGATTGGCGGATATCTGTATTGTTTGACGTTTATTGGACTTGGATCGGAAGTCACGATTTTGTGCTTCACGATATTTGTTCTGGTCAGTGAGTCGCCAGGTAAATGAAATATGTCGTAGTTGTGCGATATTAATTCGCGAGTATGAGCGAGTTCCTCTTCATTGAGGTGGTTTGTGTTTATGAGGTCTAATATTTCTTTTGTTCTTTCCGTTGGAGTACGGGACTTCATCGCGTTTAAGCGTGATTCAGTGGATACAGTGGATTTAGTAGATATAGTGGATTCAGTGGATACAGTGGATTTAGCAGATACAGTGGATTCAGTGGATACAGTGGATTCAGCGTTATAGATTTCGTTGATTTCTAGAATTTTTATACTTGGCATGGGGAAGGCTACGGTCTCGGAGGATGTGTTTACACATTTTATGAAAGACGTGCCGTTGTTCTGCTTGATTAGGCAGACGAGCGTGACGACGCCCGGTGCGAGTGTAAGACGCGGTACATAGCCAACGGTCGGGACCGTGGTAGTCACCGGAATGCAGGCCACGGTACCTCACGCTGATTTTGATTGAAAAATGGAATCGCGATGTCGTTCCATATGACGCTATTCTTAGTGTAAGAGATAGTGGCTTGATCCCGTAAAAATGTGAATCCCAGGATTCCTTCCACATTGATGGGGAACGAATCCGGGACCACGTGGAATTTAAGAGGCATTTTATACAGCGTTAGGTATGCGGATCCTAAGGTAGAAACCCGCTCGTGGGTTACTCCTCGTATACTTAATTTATCATACCTGTCGATACGCGTGTCTTCTTTTAAGGCAGATATTTTAATAAGGTTGGGTTCTGCGCCCCTGTCGACCATAAATGGAGTTGGGTTGATGAGCTCGGGGGCGTCAATGAGGATGAGAGGAGTGAACCGTTCCTCTAAGTCGATGCGGTGGAGTTGAGCTCTTCTTTCTTCTCTTCCTGAACGTTGATCGTCTTGACCTCCGGACCGCGGTTCAGGAGGGGTCGGAGGTCTTTTTCGAATCCCGGTTGCCTCGTTTCGTTGTAGGCTCGCTTGCGGCATTCGTGAAAGTCATGCCCAATGTTTTTGCAGTAGGAGCATGACCGTGTTGGCTCGTTCCTTTGTGGAGCGTGCGGTGATTCACGGTATTCGCGTCAACGAGCTTCGTAAGAGTTACGGTAACTTCTCGGGGATTCAGCTACTTGGCGATATGTTGGCCATGTCGGCTCCGGTCTTGTCGTTCTCGGGTCTTCACGGTAGTATCGCTTGGGTGACGTGGATCGCCAGGAATCTCGCGGGGGAGGCGGAGTATACGCCCTCCTTTCCTCCCGTCGTTCGGGCGTCTTATCCCGCTGGGCGAACTGCACGTGTCGTTGCTCCGTGGGTTGCCGTGTATGTCGTGTTTTATCGAGTTCTAGCTGTTTGAAGGCGGAAATTGCTTCGTCGAAGACTATGTTAGCGGGCCTGTCCCTTATGGAGCGCAGGTCCATTCGGATCTCCCGTGTTAGGCCGTTAATGAAGCTGTTGATGGTCAAATCTGCGTGGTGGCGGTTGCAATCGATGATTGCTTCACGGAGGTCCTTGACTCTACTGATGTAGTCCAAGATGTACTCGTTGGACTTCATGTATGTATCAGCGAGGGCGCCGCGGTAGTGGTCCACGGTGTGTTGTGGTCCGAAGACGGTTTTTAACCGGTTGCGCAGACCGTCCACGGTCTCTAAGGCCTCGTCCTCGATGGCCGTGTACGCCTTCCCGCGGAGTCGTGTGATTATCAATTTTGTGAGTGGTCTTTCGACGTGTGCCGGTATGATGTCTAGAGCGCGTTTACCGGAACGCGCGAACTGCAGGACCGTTATGTTCGATCCATCGAAAGTAGGGATAGAATTTATTGCCTCACGGAGAATGTATGGGGTTGATTCATCGGTGGAGGCGGTAGATGGAATCGTTGAAGGTGCTCTTGATAGTGGTACAGTACTTGCGCAGGAAGTACGCTGTCCGGTTTTCCTCTAATTCCTTCTTTAACTGCTCTATTTCTGCGCGCATGCGTCTGCGCTCGAGATCTTCAGTATCTAGTTCACGTTGTCGTTGTTCGAGGATGCGGGTATCCTCGCGTATGCGCCTCTCCCGATCAGAAAGATGTTTCTGAAGGGAAATTAGATTTTCGTCGGACGTGCTCTGTAACGCCGCGGCTTCTGTCTTCGAACACGTAGTCATTTTGTCGAGCGATTTTGTTCACTGGTTCTTGAATTGGAGTCAGTTTGTTTTTTCAATTAGTGCTGCGTTCGTGTTTGTTGCGAGAATATTCGTGAATCGGGCGTGGAATCGTACGTGATTATCGTACATGATAATCCTTGGCGTACGGCCTTGGGGCGCGCGTCTCTCACAATTTCCCCTTGGGGTTGAATTGAATAAGCGTTTCGATTTGCTGTGCAATTTCCTTCCAAGGTCGCCTTAAGGCGCTCAGTTCAGTAGATCGCACAGTGATCGTTTCGCTAAGGAATGCTCGACGGAAAAGTCTGGCCGCGCTCTCTGTTAGACGTACGCCTTGGGGCGCGCAATCTCTAGAGGCGTTTTTAGATTTTTGAAATTTAACTCGCGAGTTATTTTTCCACGCTCGTGTTTCAGTTGTATATGTCAATCGTAGGTTCTCGCAAAACATTCCGTGCTTGAATACCGTTGTTCACTCGTAGCACAGTTCGCTGTTATGTCTGCGTTTCGAATCTGAGTTGGCACCAGTCTGCGACTTCCACAGGTACTCCTTCGTGTAAGTCTTTATATCCTCGTAGGTATGCTACGAGAACTTCGTCCGGAATGTCGCGATGATTGTGCACTGTTATTGCACTGCGCGTATCTAATGTTTCTATGGCTGGAGGAGGAAACGGAACAGTGTCCTTGTCGTCGAAGATTGTTAAGTCCATGGTTTCCACGTTTTCTGCGGTGGTGTTTACATCGGCTGTCACTTTCCGCGTTTCAGAGTTTCGATGTGGAACTATCCTCAATAGGGGTTCGATTACCCGTTTCTTTCAGTCCTTAAAACTTTTTCCGGCGCGGCAACCTCTTCTGGGTTTGCGTTTCCTCTTTTTAATAGGGTCGCTGTGATCCTGTGTGAGAGAGGGACGAATGTGATATAGTAATTGCTAATAAAAAGGTAGTATTATCGTTAACCGTAATTCACCTGTCTCAGGTTGAACATGGTTGGCGTTGCGGCCTTAGGGCGTACACTTTCCATGCGTTCCCTAATTTTGGTGATGGTTCGCGAGCACTTGAGCGGTTTTCTGATCGTGCACCTTAAGGCGCTTCACTCGGGTTGCCGTTCAAGCGTATAAACAATGCAAAAGGGCAAAAAAAAAGAAAAAATTTCTCTACGTTCTGCCGTTTGTCGTTCGCCTTAGGGCGCGCAACAACGAAATACGTTTCGAAAATATGTTACGATGCGGTGATATGGAAATACTCTCTGGCACTAAGTCAGTGGTACGTCTACACTGCGCGGTGTCCGGAGCTCGACTCCGCGTCTGGGCTGAGCGCTCGGGTCTCCTGCCCGTGAGTAGAGGGGGTGGTGATGTCACATTGCCTTTCTCACGCTTGACTCTGAGCGTGGCGCAGATGCCAGAGGAATGATGTCACCTTGCCTTTCTCACGCTTGACTCTGCGCGTGGCGCGGATGCCAGAGGAATGATGTCACCTCGTTAGACGTGCGGCTACAGTTATCTTATCGCAGCGATTGTGGATCCCACCGCTGTCACCAATTGTTACGTCCCGGGACGGGTGTTTAGAATTCTTGGGATTCTTTCCTGGTACATAGAACTTCGAATCTTTCTGCGCAAGTGGCACGTACGTCCAGATATGGCAGGGGACTGCGATCTGCTGCTACCGCTGTGTCATCGATGGTGATGGGTATCAGCTTCCATGGTAATTCGTCGTTACGTTGTGGCGTTTCAATGCCCAGTGGCCAGCGCTTGGAGACGGCTGGCTGATGATGTTCACGTATAAGTTTATGTAGCTGGTATCTACGTCCGGCGCGACGCGATCGGAAGGATAAATAATCGTATTGGCAATATGTTAAGAATACAAGAATATTATATATATATTTTATAATGAATGGTATACAACACTTAAACGTACTTAGCAAATAGTAAGATATAGAAATAATAACGTATGGAAATAGTAACGTGTGGAAATAGTAACGTGTGGAAATAGTAACACGATGTCGGGAGGATGGACGGCGGGTTCCAGAGCCTCTAGAAGTACGACTCGTCTAGAGTCCGTACTTGAACTGAACTGTCTTTTTGGTGGCTCGTGGCTTAATTTATATGAGTCGCTTGGTGGTTCGGGCATCGCGGGGATGCTTACAATTATCTGTGTTTTGTCTGTGTTTGTTATGGGAAAGGATTGGATTGCTCGGTTCAATCGGAGGATGTTTATGGGAGATTAGATAGCGTGGAGTCAGAGGATGTTTACGTGAGATAGGAGTGGAATGTTCGGTGTGGCTGAAGATGTTTATGGGAGATTAGATAGCGTTCTTAATCTTAACTTAATACTAATTCCAACGTCGTCGCTCGACGTCACAGTACTGTCTGATACTGTTACTGGTAACTACTGGTACTGGAACTGGTACTGACTAACTAACTAACTCTGGTACTGATCGGATACTGATCCGATACTGTTCCGAATACAAGTCATTGACAGACAACCGAACATGGAAATTGGTGGATAGGCCGATCAACGCAAAAGTTCTTTCAAATAGGTGGGTATATAAGATAAAGTGTAATCAGGATGGCTCTGTTAATAAGTTCAAAGCAAGGCTAGTACCCAGGGGAAACGAGTGTGACGTCGTGCGACGACGTTGGAGTTAGTTCATAAGTATAATAAGCCTTCGCGACAACACAGCGAAGATAGACTAAGAATATTATACTCATATAAATTAAGCTCCTACTAATCTACCTCCGATCCTATAAACATCCACGAACTAACTCTACCCCTATATCACATATCCTATAAACATCCTACGATCGACTTACTCCTTTATCTCATATAAACATCCTCTGCCAATTCTCCGTACATATAGATTAAGCTTCCACTAACCTTAATCTATATCTCACATAAACATCCTCCTACTAAATTCCAATATTATCTCATATAAACATCCTCTGATCCACTTCACTCCAATATCTCATATAAACATCCGCCGACCAACTTCTAATAAACAATCTCACGCCACCTTCGCCACAACAACCAGATAACTTTAAGCATCCCCGCGATGCCCCGCACCACCAAGTAATCTATATAAAAGAGACGATAGGTACAGACATAGTTCAGATACATAGTCAGTTACTCAGTCAGAGTACAGCGACGGGTCGCCGTCAGCCGGCACGACCG